AGGTCATTTCCTTCCACAGTCAGGTGGGCTTTCTCCATGGTGGCCACTGTGCCCCTCAGGGGCATCCGTGGTGCTTCCCATCTTTCAGCGTACTTGCCCACCTCTACCTTCACAGTGCTTCCAGAACCTAACAGCTGCTCACCACTTCCACTCACACCTCCAGTGTCTCGGCTATCACCATCTCCTGTCCAGATTATTGCAGTAGCCTCCCAAAGGGTTTCTTTCTTCCCCGTGCCTCCCCTAGGTCCCTTCTCCATAATTACTAGCCAGGGTGATTCTGCTAAAATATGGAGTTCAGATCATGTCTCTCCCCAGCTCAAATTCTCAGCAGCTTCCCATCTCACACGGAGATGAAGTGAACCTCTTCACGGTGGCTAGAAGACTCCACGGGACCCGGATCCTTGTTTACTTTTCAGATCCTACCTCCCAGGACTCTGCTCCAGCCTCCTTACGCTTTTCTCAAACACAGTAGACAAAGTAATGCTGTCTCAGGGCCTTTGAACTTGCCACTCCCTCTGCCTTGTTAAAAAACAAAATTTAACAGCATATTTGAAGATCTAATTGGCTTTATTCATGAATCAGCCAGCATCCCATCAAACAAAGAGAGAGACGCTCCAAAGAGTTGCTAGGAACGGAAAGTTTTTATAGGAAGGATTGTGGGGCAAGGACAATAGCAGAAGAAAAGAAAGGATTGTTTGGGACAAGGTCACCTTCCCTCCAGGCAACAGGTGAGGATGTTATTATGCAGGTGACCTCATCTTTCGGGGGATGGAGAGGACCCATCGGACAGGTTACCTCATTGGTGTTAACTGGGACATTAACCTGATTGACTGTTAAGACTAATTTCTGGGGAGTAAACTGTTTCCCTGAGTTCTGTGAGCTGCTCTAGCAAATAAAATGAACCGAGGAGAAAGTCACAGAAACCTCTGATTTATAGCCCGTTGGTCAGAAGTACAGCTAACTACCTGGACTTGGGATTGGCCTCGGGTGTGGGCAGGGGGCAGTCTTGTGGGACAGAGCCCTTCACCTGTGGGGTCTGATGCCATCTTCAGGTAGATACGTCAGAACTGAGTTCAACTGTGGGACACCCAGCTGATGTCACAGAATTGCTTGGTGTGGGGAAAACCTGACACATCTGGTGTGAGAAGTATTGCAAGAATAAAGGAGAAACACAGGAGAAGGACTGGGGATCTTCCCACTCTGCCCGGGATAGGGCAGAGTGCGTGGTGCGTACAGCCTTCCAGTCTGGACAGCCTCACAGCGCTGTGAAGAAGTTACACAAGCAGACGATAAGATTGGATGAAAAAGGTGAGCAACAGAGAGATGGTCGGGGTGATCAGAAGAGGGAACTGAGCCAGAATGAGGAGCTAGAAGAGCAGAGAGAGGAGAGGACAAGGAGAGCAGGTCCGGGCTGCAGCCCCGTCCATTGGAACCGTACAGCATCTATGAAGGCACATCATTCATTCACACGGTGCATAAGAGACATGCTGGGTGTCTACTGCATTCTAACCACTGTGCCTCACCTTGAGGATACAAAGATTAGTTTGGTATCTTAAAGACCCAATAAGGTCATGAACTTGTGAGGTCAGCCAGGAAATCTCCAAAGTCAAGTTCCTGACAGTCTCAAGGCAATGGGAATTTGTTCCCCAGTTCCTTCTCTCTTGCTCGGGAACATAGCAAGTAAGACTATTGTTGTGCAAACTGGTGTGATTCTGAGCCACAAGATTACCTGGCAGTGGCAGGCATCAAGCCTGGCACACGTTTCCCCCTTCAGAGCACCCCAATGTCCTTGAAACAGGCAGGTGGGCTTTGTTCTTGCACAAATCACTCGGCCGAACAGCTCAGATAAGGCTAACGGGCACTGGGTTCTTCCACCTTTCGGAACACAGCCTTGGCCTGCGTGGCCAGTCAATCAGGGCTTGGCAAGCAGCTGCCTAAGGAAACCTTCTGGAGAAGAACTGGTGGTCAGAGTGGAGTGGGGACACGGGGCCCGGTCCGGCAGGGGCTTCTGTGTCACACCCAGTCTGCAGCTACCCTGTGGTAGCAGAGGCAGCTAAGGAACACCGTAAATGCCACAAGTCCGCTGTCTCTCCTCTGGGGGTCTGTGCAGATTAAAGACGGGTGTTTGTTTTTTGTTTCTCTGGAAGGAGGGGCTGGTGATAGAGCAGAGCTGCTTTATACACACACATTCAACATGTCACAGGCCTCGGCGCCTAGTCTTACACCTGCGCTTCATTCAGTGTTTTGAGGAAACACTGCCTGTAGGTTTAGTACAGTGGGGATTAAGAGTTACCTAGTGGGTTATGCAATTTGGTCATTGGTAGTCTTGATAACAGTCGTTTCAGCGGAGTGGCAGGCAACTCTTCTGAGGAGCAAAAATGGAGCAGAGAACTGGACACAGAGTTAAGAGTGGATTCTTTTCCTAAGATGGAAGAAATCACAATGAACTTGTGTTCTGGTTGGAATGATCCAGTAGAGGCAAAATTGATGATGCCTGAAAGAAAGGGATATGGCTAAAGAAATATCCTAGAACAACAAAGCGAACAAGGAACTTTTAGTGACGTGGTAGGGCTGTGCAGGGGAGCAGAAAGTTTTCCTGGACCCTATTAAGGTCCCTGGCTGGGTCTGAGAATTAAACTGACAAAAGACAAATCAACAGGAGAAAAGCATCCACATTGACTTACTGTGACTTTTATGTGGCACAGGGGCCTTCCTAAGGAAATGGAAACCTGAGTGGTTTGTGCTGGGTCTGAGAAGGGTGGGAAGCTGTCTAGGAATATGATAAGACAAAGGGTATGAGGTAAGTGTAGCAAACTGGACATAACTTGATATGGCCTGTTTGTTTGGATTCTTCCCAGTGCCCCTCTGTCCCAGAGAGAAGGATTAAATTGTGGGACACCCCGCTGGTGTCACAGAATTGCTTGGTTTGGGGAAAACCTTATACATCTGGTGTCAGAAGTATACCTCTGGGCATAGAGAGGGCACCTCTTACACCTGCTTCAAGGGAGAAGGCAGGGAGGCTTTCCTGATTCTGCCATTTTCTCAAAGTCCTTCAACTTAAAATATTCAACATGCCAAGGTACCATATACTAGGGTGCTGTGTTCTTTTGAAAAGAAACGCATAGACCCAACGTGGAGTCATTTCTGCCAGGCCAAGTCACCGAACCGGGGCTTAATGCCTGAACCTTGCTGCAGTTTCAACCTCCCCCGAAAACTTAGGGGGTCAGGAATTTTCTGGTCAGCATCATCAATACGGTAACCTGTCACGTGAGCATTTCTGTCTTCCCTAAAAGATGGGGTCATCTGCATTATAAGATTCCCTAAGAGAAAGTGACCTTGCCTGAAATAATCCCTTATTTTCTTTTGCTAATAACTTCCTCTCACGTTCATGCCTGTAAAAACCTTCATTTTGTACAATTCCTGGGAGCATCTCTCTACTTGTTAAAGGGGATGCTGTCTGATTCATGAACCACTTAATAAAGCCAATCAGATCTTCAAATGTACTTGGGGTGAATTTTGTTTCTTAATAGTTCTGAACCCCACGACCTAGATGTTAAACACAGCTATTATTAAATATTAAATTATATACATTGACAATAAACTATATTTAAAAAGGTAATAGGTATGAAAAACTCATCCCCTCTTAATTATGTGACTACAGCTACCATTATCTGTGTTCTTGCGGTCATGTCTCTCATACACGGACGGTGGGAATACCACACAACGGTGCGCTCCGACACTTCTCAACTCCGCATTTAGTGACATCACATGGGTAGTTTGGAATTGGCCACGGTGGGAGTATTTACACCACGGCAATCACAGCCACTAGAAATCAGGGACTTGTTTTGGTTGTTTTTTAAAGGAGAGCTGTTTGTTGACCATGTGCCAGCCCACCACTGGATTGTGTGGGTAAGTGGAGGGACTGCCCTAGACTTAAGTGCTGACATTTCATTCACAGCAACGGGAAAGAAGGCAGGCATTTGGACCAGTGAGTAACAGATGTGGTGGGAAGAGGCTTCCTATCACCTAAGAGAAGAAGGGAGCAAGGTAATCAATCACCTTAGAATAAGGCTGGCTGGGAGGCGCCGAGGCGAGAGGGGTGTGGGACAGCGGGGATCAGAGAAATTAGTGTTTCTGCCCAGCACCATTAAGAGGCCCGTTGAGGTTGGCGGTTATGACTTCAAACGGGCCTGTGACAGTGGGTTTATGTTTTCCCCCCGTTTCTTTCAGTGGCTCAGGTGAAGCAGTGAGAGCTGTGTTTATCCAAGGCTAGAGATTTGCTGGACCAGTTGTGCCTATAAATTAAGACCCTTTTGTGCCAGATGAAGGTGACGTCACCTGAAATAATTCTTTTTTTTTGTTCATGACTTCCTTGACCTGCGTTGAAAAACTTTTCTCTTTCTGTAGCTCTTTGGGCCATTTCTCCCCTTGCTGAGGGCATTTAAGCCTGATTCATGAATCGCTAAGTAATGCCGATTAGATCTTCAAATTTACTTGAATTTTGTTTTTAACATAGGTGAGTCAGAATACTCAGATTCTTTTTCCATCCCTTTGTTCCTTGCTCCGTGGTGTCTAAACTTTAACAAGCAGAGTCGCTTCCCTGCACAGTCTCTAAGCCCCGACACCTATTCCCTGGACACTCCCGGGGGATACGGGCAGTCACCGCTGGACATCAGACCCAGCTCCAGGCCTCGGAGGCAGCCGCCTGGGTCTGCGATCAAGCGCATTTGCTGGCCTCCGCCCTGCGGGCCTCCGCGGACCGCGCAGGGTCCGGTTACAGCTTCCAGCCCCGGAGGGCGGCTGGTGCCCGAAAGCGGGAGGCTCTCGGGGCCGCCGGCGGTAGCTCGGGCTTTGCTCTGCGGCCCTGGGCGAGGTGACGACAGGGACGCCCCCGTCCCGGGGCCCCGCGCGGGTGGCGTCTGGCCGGCAGGGCGGCGGGGGCGCGGGAGGCGGGGGGCGGGAGGCCGGCGGAAGGGGCGGGGGCGCGGCCGGCTGTCCGTCCCTCCGGGCGGACAATAAAGTTTGGAAGTTTGACGAGGAGGAGAAAGCCCAGCGCGCGCCGTGGGCCGCCCGGGAGTGCACGCCGGCGGGGGCGCGGGGATGGGGGTCACCGTGGACGTGCGCCAGCTGTACAAGTACCCCTTCGAGCAGGTGGTGGCCAGCTTCCTCCGGAAGGTACCGCGCCCCGGGCCGGGCAGCCCGTGCCCCTACCCCCGCTCGGGCGTGTGCGGGGCGGGGGGCGTCCTCGGAGGCCGGGGGTGTGCGGGGGGCGGGGGGCGTCCTCGGAGGCCGGGGGTGTGCGGGGGACGGGGGGCGTCCTCGGAGGCGGCGGCGGGGGAGGCATGGACTCCCCGTGGCCACCCCCGCCCAGGCTGAAGCGAGGAGCTTCTGGGGAGGGGGGGCTGGGGCCCCAGCTGAGGCGGCGCAGGACTGGTCCCCCCGTACGTCACTGGCCCCCCAAAAGCCGGTGGGGGCCGCTGAAGCCGTCACCCTCGTTTACTCGGCACGGCCGCGCTTATGGAGCAGCTGTGGCCCCTGGGCAGGTTGCCCTCCCGCTGGGGCCTCAGTTTTGTCATCTGTGAAATGGGGGAAAGTACAAGTACCAACTCAACGGAAGGGCTGTTTGGGGGGAATCCAGGGAGAATTTATGTGCTGACGACGGCTGATGCCCAGGAAGGCCTCCTAAATGTTGTGGGGTGCTGTGCCACTAAAACTGCGCGCCCTCGCCCCAAATTGCGGTGGCCCTCCTTGTCCCAGGGCTGCCCCCAGGACTCTGTGGCTTGTGGTAATAGGAAGCAGGAAATTTATTTGAAAAAACCGAAAGCACCCAGGGCTGGGAGATGAGACCCTTGGACCTGTCAGGCCCTTCCTTCCTGAGTTCATGTGATGACCTCGGTCAAGGGTCAGCTTCTCCAGGCCTGGGTGCCCGAAGGCCTGCTGGTCTCCCCTCCAGCTTTCACATTCTGTGAATCGCCTTGGGCAGCAGCTATCAGATAATGCGCTGTTTGCAACCCGGAAGCCAAACTGGGAGGTACTGGGGGAGGAGAGTAACTTCTTAAGTGGTAAGATCTTACCTCCTCTGGAGGAGGTGGTATAGGTGGGGGCCCAGGTCACAAGCACGTGAGTAGTGTGCTTGTCTAGATGGATGCCATCTTGTTGCTGACGTTCACTGGTCTGCAGCATCTAGAAGTGTCCAGCACCTACTGGGGGCTCGATAAGGATCTGGTGAATGATGAGCAAGTAAATGCATGAAATCCCGACTAATGGACCTAGTGTAGACTTTGCCTTCGGCCGGGCTTCTGGGCCCAGAAAGGAAATGGCCAAGAGCCTGTTTCTCTGTCAGGACTGGCGCTTGGCGGCGTGGATTCTTTTGTGCCACTGCTCCTTTGCGAAGGCTTTCTAGGTTTTCCTCATCAAGAAGAGATCTCTGTCTTGTCTGAGTTGGGGTGCTTGGGCTACACCTCACTGACCATCTTCTGTAGTGCTGGACCCTGACTTGTGCACATGTCTTTTTCCTCTCATTAGACTCTAAGCTTCTTCAGAGCGGGACTCACTCCTGCAGGAACGCGTAGCACAATGCCAAGCTCTCATTCAGAGGGTGCTTGGCGCATGTCAAGCTAAATGCTTTTCTTTTATTCAACAGGTGTTTGGAGATACCTTTCTTCTATATGCCAGGCTCTGTGCTTAGGCCCTAGGCCACAGCACACAGACCCTTTTCATGAAGCTGATGGTCTCTAGTAGGTGAGACTGCCATTAATAGGTGATGAACAAATGAACACATGATCCCAGTTGGTGATGCATAGTTACACGGGAAGTTCACGGTGCTGTGACTGAAGAGAGCCGGGAGTCCTGCGGAAGGAAGGTGACCATTAGCAGAGCCTTCTCAAAAAGTGGCATGTGTGCAATGATGGCTGAAGCATGCATAGGAGTTTCCTAGCTCAGAGGTGGGTGTGGGGAGGAAGTGCTTTCATACATGGTCGTGTTTACTCCTCACAGCAGCTCAGGAAATAGTTATGACTCACTTCTGTTTCACTGTCCAGAGAAACTAAGGTTCAGAGAAATTTAAGCAACTTTACGAAGTTCCCACAGCTAGAAGATGGCAGAGCCAGGATTTCCACACAGCTGAATCCGAAGCCCACACACCTAATCACCAGGCTGTGCCGTCTTGCACAGAGTAGGCATTCAGATGATTCTTGAGGGAATAAAATGTTTTGTAATCAGTTTGCTGGGCTCCTAATCTAATCGCAGTTTCCTTTTGATAACAGTCTTCTGTCTGGGTTTACTCATCTCTGTTCATCTCAGTGGACCCCTGCCTGATAGAAGGATATAGCTTTAATGTGTGGTAGGGTGAGAAAATAGTGTTTCTGTTATGCAGTGCTGTGTAACAAATCACCCATATGATTTTTGTGGCTTCAAGCAATGATAGGCTTTTCATTCTCAAGATTCTTTGGGTTGCCTGGGCTATGCTAGGTGGTTTTTGTACGCTGTATGTCATAGCTGAAGTCACTTATATAGTGACTATATATATATATATATATATATACAGCCGATAAAGACCGAGGAGGCCACTAGAAGGCAGGGCCTGGGAAAGGCAAGGAAAACATTTTGCTGAAAAAGTGATGGGACAGGGTTAACACTGCGGACGGCGCTGTACTTCCATTCTTTCTGTTCACAAAGCAGTCCTGCAGAGACCCCTGGGAGGGACTTTGGGACTGTTTCTAAGATGCCAGTAAATCCATTTGCTGTGCGAATTTTCACCTTACATTATTGAAAGGCCATGAACTGGCAGCCAGTAGATCTCAGTTCCAGTCATTGCGCTTTCCATATTAAAATCAGTTTTCAGTAGCCTTGGGAAGCCTTTTTCGCAAGCCTGTACTGTGCCCTTGCACAGCTTAGAAAGTGGCATCATCTGGGGGTGTCTACTCCACAAGCTCACAGTAAGTGGGGCTAGTGGAAAGTAAATGGTATGTTTATGCAAATTAGAAAAAGGTGCCTATTCTTCCAGGTGGCTGGAGCCCTATGACAGCTGGCCTGCTAAACTGGGAGACTTTGTGTGGTGAGCAGCCTGCACAACTGTAAAAGACAACCCTACTGTCTTATTGCATCATCTGCGAAATGATAATGCCATGTATCCCCCCCACCTGTCTCCCAGGATTGTGAAGATCAAAGTTGTAACAGTGTGACAAGCATAAGCTTTTTACAAGCCTAAGGTAGTAAGAATGGTCTTTTTGGCAAAATACACTTTTGTTTTACTCTTTATGTATTTTTTTACAAAGGAAAGCACTTGGCAGAAGGGACATCATATGAAGATCTCTGGGATCTTCATATGTGCAAAAAATGGTATGTTTTTTTTTGCACAGTGGTATGTTTGAAGTGGCTTCAGCACTGAGGAAGCTCTATTTTAAATAGAGTCTACTGATCTATGGCTTTTGGTATGTTCGGACTCGCCTTCCAAGTTATAATATACTACTATATTTAAAACCTGAGGAATGTTTGTTCTTCTTACACCTGCCTGCGGGATACCACAGGCAAAATACTAGCTACGTGCTTTCAAAGCTAAGTGGCACCTTGAAAACAAACGTCACCACGCTCTTTGTTTATGGAAATAGGGTTTCTCGATGAAAACTCTTCATGAAAGAATGCTGTGACATCCCAAATGGTTTATTCATCAGACGCCAAACTATACTTCCCACAAACTATAGTGTCAGTGTGCTTGACAGTGTATTTGTTTTCTTTCTTTGTATGAATCTTAGCTTTATAGCTCTCTTCACAGCAGTTTCCTTCCTTTTACTTAAAGCCATCCGCAAAGAACGCAAAGCTGCATGTATGAATGTAGAGTCTAGAAGCCCGCCCTTCTCCGGAAGTCCACATAGGTCTGTTTAATGGGCTTGCCTCCCATGACCTGGATTCAAAGACGTCTTCAATTTTATCTGCCTGAAATTTAAAGTCATTAAAAATGACCAAGAGAGCCACTGTGTTGACTGGATATTTTGTGTTTACTCAAATGAGGAAGTTACAGGTTTTCTTACTGTTGAGTTGTTCAGGGTGACTTTCTTTTTATGTTACATGCAAGACAGTCATTGTGAATAGAGTGTAAGCTTCACGGGCAGAGATTTTTGTCATTTGTTCTTGATGTATCCCAAGTGCCCGAAGAGTTCCCAGAACATAGTAGGTCTTCACAAAGTCCTTGTTGAATGAGTAACTAAATACACTCTTCTGGGATTTAGCCCTGTGGAATACCAGACTCACTGTATCATTGTGGGGTTCAGTAACATGTCCTTAGTTTGTGTCCTGTAATAAAATGGACAGATTAAAATAATCTCTTTGCTTCAACTCAGTGGCCTCGGGTTTTATTTTTTCCAGCCAGGAGCCTGGGGTGCTGAACAGAACGGCCTGACTGTTTACTCCTAAACTCATAAAGGGGATTTATGAATGGCTATTTCCATTTAGAGTAGAAAGTTGATTGGGTAATTAATAATGTTTCCATTTCTGATGCTATCTTTTCTCACTTGGAAATCTGACACCTATATGTGTGGAACATCTCCCTGCAGAGCTCCTGAAGTATCTGGAGTGAACCCACATTTTCAAAATGAGTGATTTGATAGGCCTAGTTTAGCATAATGGTTATTTATCTTTTTGTTCACACTGTAATAGTCTTTCTTCACTTTTATCTTCCTGCCCTCAATTCTACCAAAATATCAGGCACAGCGTGAAAGAGGTGCAGATCTGAAGATAATGGGTTCTGGCATCAGATAGGGAGACAAGTGCTACTAGCTGTGTGGATTTGGGCAAGCCAGTTTATTTTCTGTGCCTCAGTTTCCTCATCTGCAAAATAATAATAATCTGGTATTGTTATGGGAAATTATATTAGATAATGCACATAGTTGCATATAATATGCATACCTTAATGTCAGCATATAGTAGGTGTTTTTTGAAGCACTTCTTAAAAATCTTGATATTGATATTAACAATAATAATAACTTGATACATTTATTCTATGAACCTGAAAAAAAAAAGTAGTCTTTGGAAATCTATACTAAGTTGGAGTAATAAAGGAGAGAGTGAGTGTGAATAAAGGTACACATTTGAATTATAGCTTATTTTAAAAATCATTTAAATAATATTAAAGCATACTTGGTAACTTATCTAGGGGAGGTTGTAGCTTAATCAGTGCA